GACACCACTTGTCACCAGCCTCCACCTGGACGTAGAGCCGTTCACCACAACCCTCTGGCCGTGACCATCCAACTAATTCTCTATCCATCCAATAGCCCAGGCAGCCCTCAGTTATATACTGAGCATGATGTTATATGGTACAGAACATCCCATTGCCACATCCAGATGCCAATCTGGATCTGTTGCTCTGGCTATACTACCTCCCACCCCACCCCCCCAGGCTGCTTCTGCACCTGCACAGTAGCAAAGTCCTTATTTCTTAGCAACAGCTGAAAACATCAGTGTGTTATCAGTGGTCTCCTTGTACTCCATCCCCGTACGGAATTGCTGCAGTGGTGCTGTTCTAGCTACTAAGAAGAAAATCAGCTCCATCCCAGCCAAAACCAGGACAGCAGATGGGAAAGCCCAGTACTTTGTCCTGTTCCTCTGTGTTGTATGCATCACATGCTTCCTTTTCTTTCACCCTTGGTTTTGTTTGAAGTTTCTAGTAGACTTCCTCATCTGAGATACAAAACAGCACTTGAGAAATCATTGTGCTGTTTTAGTTGGAGAGTTCCTCTCCCTTGCTCTTCCAAAAAGCAGTAGAATGCAAAGTGGAAAATGTCAGTGGATAAACACATTAAAACAAATAGTCTAAGACAAATCACTCTCCATTCAAGTTAAACTTTTATCCTAGGGAAGAAAGAAAAAAAAAAACTTTTTTTTTTTTTTTTTTTTTTTTTTTTTAGCAGTAGCACCTCCATTCTCTCAGTTATTTTATACAGGGCTTTGTATCGTTACAGATCAAATGTGACTTTTGTTACAAAGTTATTGCAGTTAGAATAAAAGACAGCAAAAAGATAAAACCACGAGGCAGGTGGTGTGGGAGGGAGATAAGCAGTCATTTGAAATCAGTGGCTGCAGAAAGAAGACAGCAGAAAGCTTTGGTTTTGGTTGGTCTTCAGGATTCACATGCAGAGAGGAATCTAAGAGGCAACTGAAAATGAGATTGGAGCTGCTGACAGTGGTTGGTATTGCAGGTGGGGCTTTAACCTGGGATGAAGAAGTACAGTTGCTTATTAGGGAACCCAGAAGGGTTTTGGAAGGAGATGCAGTGCAGGAAGCTGTGGGCACGTGTTGATTGTGCAGCTATGAGAGCCCTTACTAGCAAACACTGGGAGTGTCCTGAGGAATGCGAGGGGGAGTGAGCCTTGCTGTGGTAGGGTCAGCTCAGGCTGTCAGAGTGGGAGGTGGTCTAAGGCGAAGCAGTCAGTGACAGTGATAATGGTGAATAAACCTGCAATTCAGCCTTCTGAATCTTCTGTTGAACAGAAATTTGGGGATCCTGTTGCTTCAGCATGTGGGAAGAATGGGTGTATTTTTGGCCTACCTCAAATTGAGCTGGAACAGGTTGGAGGCAAGTAGTCTCAGTCTCTAACGAGCAGTTTTTCTGCTCTTTTATGCACTTGAATATTCTGATTACAGGTGGCATTTCATTGAGTTAAAGTATTTTCAAACATCACTGCTTGCCAGGAGCCTGATTAAAGAAGTATCAATGTATTAAAAACAGCTTTTTGCGTTTGTGTAGGTGCTAAAAATGCGGAAGCTGTGTTAGAAATGCAAAAGTGAAAGTAACAAGCTTATGAAAAGGTTCAAAATTAAATCCAAGTTTAGTTTGAACAAGTGAGCAGCAGGTTCTTCTGGACTGAACTTCAGAGCTAGTTAATGAGTGTATGAAAGCAGAGTCATGTAGGGATGCTTGAATATGTTAGTTTAGAGTCTGGAATAAATAAGTTTTGCCTTTGTAATCACTATTACCCAGACAGCAACAATACAGCTTTGCTTTGGAAGGCACAGGAAGGTTACAAAAGGTGGAAGAAGATCTTAAATAAATCTGTATTATTCTTGCTTTTTCACACCAATAATTTTGTTGGAACTTGAAGAGACACTTCTGAAACAGGCATAAATGTAGCTTCGAAGTTGTCAGTAAACTTCCTTGCTATGTGGGAGAAGATGAAGATAGCAAGTTCTTCGTTCTTGATGTGTTTTAATGTTAAAATTGTACGTTACTCAGACAATCTGCCCATTTTTAGAAGTGACATCCTGTCCTGTAGAAGTGCCTTAATGTTCTGGTGTCCCTTATTCTTGCGGGAGAAAATACCTCTGATTTAAAGCTATTGATTATCTTGTTGTATATGTGTGAAAATAAGATGGTTGTAGCCTGCTGTTTCTGTTGGAAGCCAGAAGATGCCAGTGATGTGTGCTGGGAGGGAAGCTGCTGATGTGTATTTTGTTAAGGGGCAGTGGTGGTACAAGCTCCTGCTGAGAACTCTGGTAGTAGTGCAGGCAGGAATTTACATCCCAGCCTGGCACCAGACATGTGGAAAAAAGCCACAAACAGTGGTGCACAAAGGGTTTGGGACAACAAGAAGGAAGTTACAGGATTAGTTTACAACTTGCATATACAGCTTTGACTTTAGACTTGATTGCAACTACTAATGCACTGAAGGGGGTTGGTCACTGATGTTATTGATATTGATGTTCTTGATAAGCTGCTTACCACTTCTTTAACACCTTAAAAAAATAATAAGTTACAGTAGTTACCAGCTCAAAGTGTTGACAGTGGAGATGGGGAGGTCGTTAACACCATCATATAAGGTACTGGTGAGGTCTCTTCTAGAACACTGGATACAGGTGAGGCCAGTCCCATTTGACAAAGCTCAGTTTAAGCTGGAAGGGTGGTTAAGACTTACTAGGATGATAAAAGAAACAGTTTGAGTGTGGAAACTGACAGGTTGGCTTATTAGCCAAGTAGAGTGAAGGCTAGGAGGTGATGAGGAAGACGATACTTCCTCTGATCTGTCAGAAAGAGCTATCAGAAATAAGAGCTGGTAGCATTAAAAAAAGAAAAATCTGTAGAAATAAGTTACAGCATTTTAATTATGTCAATATTCACTGTATGGGCATTTAGGTTTTGTGCTTTTAAAAAGATAAAGTTATGTTTTCTCTTCAGAAACCAGACCATTGCAGACTTCTTCAAACCGGTTTTAAACAAAGGTAAATACATGTTTTTTAAATGGAAGATATTTATATGAGTTTTAATTATGTAAGTGTGCAGAAGTATAGTCCAATCCTATTCCAAACTGGAGCAGCAATATCATTTGTATAGCTTACCAAATATATCAAAATGCACACATTTAATTTTTTTTCTAATAATGTAACTAAAAGCATTAATTTCCTATTTAAATGAACTTCTTTAAATAGTGATGTAATTATTATTTCAAGTTATTGTCTTACACTTAGGCTGGATTGATTATAACAGCTGAAGCTGTGACATAGATCGTGCAGTTCTTTGATATGAAATAAATCACATGGAACTAGCAAAGCTAAATGATTAAGTAAATTCATTTTGGATTGCATGTGAGAGAGAGATAAAATATCAAGTAGTACAGTCCACTAATTATTTTTTTCCCAATATTGTGATTGTGAGTAATTTGTCTCGTCTTTTGTTTCACAGACCTTGGCCATAAAGACAGAACTGTGTTGTGTTCACCAGACAGAGGAAGAGTAAAAGATGCAGGAGTCGGGCTGTCGGTTTTATGCGCTGAACGTTTTGAAAAGAAAATATCTTCTCCAAGGAAGGTCAGAAGAAAAAAGATGTCAGAGCGAACAGCAAACACAAGTCCTGTGTTAGATGACTTTCGGAGACGAATTAAGGAGAAAAAAGACAGTATAAGCGTTTTGGAGAATGGCAGAGCATGCAAGGCCCTGGGCTCGTTCTACCCAGAAGTTGTGATTCAAAAACTCCTTGTTACCCCAGAGTCTCACAACTGTTTCTTGGCCAAAAAGGAGAATACTGTCAAGTCAGAACAAGGAAGAGATGAGAAGTGTCTGAGTGTAATAAGAGCGTCATTGTCTCGTGGAAATAGCTGGGAACAGGAAACTGACCATATGGATCTAGAAGACACTAGTTCAGACTCCGACAAATGGATTTCATCATCAGAAGCTGGTACTCAGAAAGCCTGTGCTAGAAATAATGGCACAGCAAACAACATGTCTCTGTGCCAAAACCCAGGTCTTCCCATGAAATTGCCCCGCACTCCGCCTGGCTCTGAATTTAGGTTGTCACTGGAAGCTCTCTGCAGAGAGAGGAATCGGAAGAAACATAGAATGAAACAATCTAAGCCACATCCTGTCAAGCCATTCTCAGGAACAAGTGTATCACATCAGGTGTGTTTAACAGGGTTGTTTAAGGTGGAAATCAGCAACTCACTGTACATGTGATTTTTATTTATTTATTTATTTTCCCCCCAACGTAGGATGAGATTCTTGGTGCTGCCTTTTTCAGACGTAACAAAAGTTTGGGCTCTTTTGCTATTTCTTTGTAAATTTTAGGTTATGCTTGGGTAAACTGGTTCTTAACTATTTTACCAATAAATGAGAAATCCTGGTTTAGAAGCAGGGGGAGGATTCTGGGTTAGATGCCAGCATGGAAATGCAATGGAAATTGTAACTTTAAATTGTATTTTGTAGAAAAAATGTCTTTATCTTAAATGTCTTATAATCTTGTGCTTTCTTACAATGTACTGTAGAGAACAGCCTGGCAAATTTCTGCTAGTTAGAAGTTGCAGTTAATAGCAGTTAAGATTTATGCACTTAAGCCAAAGTATTTAGATAGACGTGGGAGTAGTCCTGTTAAGTGTGTAGTATTTCATTACAGGTTGAATTATACTCACTTTTTTACCAACCAAGAAAACCCTTAAAAAGGTTGCTGGTTACTTACAAGGAAGCTCACCATGTGTACCTCCATAATGTGCTATGAATGGAACAAAGAAGATTGTTTAGCTTGCTTTTCTTTTTTTTAACTTAGCAACCTTTCCTCTCTATTTGCTTGTCTGTTCTTTCTGTCATTTTCTTATTTAAGTTCCTAATGACTTGTTTGAGGAAAGCCAGCTGGGCTATATTGCCATATAACCCAGGGATGCAAGTGGCTAATTGCCCTTAAAGTAGAGAGATTTAGAACTGAAGGCCAATCTGAAGAAAAGGTTAAAAAAATCAGGTTGTAGAGTGTCCTTTTATGAGATCTTTGCAGCTGTTTGTCTTGAAATGAGGCATATTACCATATTTCTGGGGGAGTGTGGAGCTAAGTCTGTGCTGGATTCAACACTTGGCTTAAAACGTCAACAGCTGGTTTTAAAGAGTGTGCCATTAACTTTTTTGTTTTCTCCATATTTATTTTTAGGGAACTGGATGTCCTTTAAGAAAAATACCACATTCTGACTCAAGGGAGACTGCCTCAGGTAGAAGCATTGCTGGTAATAGGGAATTAATTAAACAAACAGGTTCATCAATTAGTATCTATTTTTAATGGCTTTTTATGTTTGAAGTTATGTTGTGTTTTTCTGTTTTCTCTCTTAACCCTGACTATACAGCAGTAATCTATTTTTTATTTCTAATATATGGCAAGCTTGAAAAAGTTTAAAAGTAATTTGGGATTTTAGTGAAAAACAGGTTGTTTGTAACTTAATTAGAAGTCATGATATTTCTTTAAGACCTTAATCCCTGTTTATTTTTATGGTTTCTCTTGAATTTTGGAAAATCCACATTCACTATGGTGAACAAATTTTGCCTTTCAGCTTAATCCAAAAAGAACATTCTTGTTGAACCAAACACTAAAGTTTAGCTGGTATTAAAAAAGGAGGGGAGGAGCCCAAACCAAAGAGAATATTCCCGTGTTGTGGGTCTGTGGCTGTGTAACCCTGTCAGGCTCTCTGCTGCTATTCTTCACTTTTCACCTGTGCTGGCACTGGGACGTGGCCAATGGTCTGAGGAGCAGATCTGGTTGAAAATTGAGTTGGGAAATTCTCAGCCACATCAGCTCCATGAAGTGTCCAGGTGCAGGTGCCAGCTTAAGGCAGGAAGCAGAAAAGCATGGTGGGGAGGGTGAGCTCTAGTGCCACAGAACCACAACCTGAAAACATATTTCTTCGTATTCTGAATGCTTTTTTTATGAGCACTGTTAGAATTACTGCAGTATTTCCAAAATACTTTTCATACTGTTCATTATTTGTAACTGTATATGTAAGTACAGAATCTTTCTTACAGTCCCACACCTCAACTGGGCTGTTGTCTGTTTCTAAAGACTGATTCTAGTGTGTAGGACAAGTGTTCTGTGGTGGCTGCTGAGCTGCTTTAAAATAAAAGGATTTGATTTCATTTCCAAGTTGGTTACAATAATAATGTAACAGTACAGTATCAGCTAAATCTTAATTGTGGTCCACTCAAGGAGAATGAAAGTATTGTAGTTTCTGATAAAGATTTCAGTCATAGTTGACTTAAAAACAGTAATTATTTTTGTAAATGGTAATCTGTTAATGTTGTTTATTTTTTTTAAACATGACAACAGTGGTTTACTTTTTTTCTTAAATACTTCCTAGATGATCCATCTCAACCAAAGCCAAAGAAGGTTTCAAAACACGAGGCGTCTTCTTCAAATGCACTGAGAAAGTCGTCTGAGAAGGCTGCTGGTATGCAGAAGAGCCAGTCTGTTCCTCCACACTGCCTTAGATATAAGATGTCTTCTGGGCCCTCCAAACAAATAGACTTTCCTGGGAAAAGAAAACACACTGCCATGGGTGCAGAGGCAGACAGTTCAAATCAGCCTGAGGTATCCAGTTTGAATGACTCTGCTTTTAGCAGATCATCTGCAAAATGCAAAAATAGGACATCTGACTTTATAAAAAATATCTTTCTAAAGTCAACTTGTGGTGATGTTCTGCAACTGATGGAGGCTGCTGCTCTGCCTAGACATGAGCCTACTTTTCCAGAGGAATACCTCAACTCAAGTGATGAAAATGAGAAAAGTAATTGCTCCCCTGTGGGTTTGTCATCTTTCTATTCTGCACACAGTCCTGGGAAAGATAAACACGTTTCAGATACCAAAGAGAATCAATTGCAGGTGGCTAACTCTTGCTTTTTCTTGGAAAAGTCCTTTCCTTTTTCTCAGGAAAAAAGTACTGTGTTGCCTTCTCTCCACCACTTAACACAAACAAAAGGTGTGGAATCTCATCTCCAGAATGCTGGTTTATCTCAGGTGTTGGATGCTAAGAAGGAGCAAGATGGGAAAAGATCAGAAAGACATGGGCACAAGAAAACTTACAGTATTCCATCCAGCAACAGTTTTTCAAAAACGAAAGACAAGACTTCAGAAGATGCTTCTGATTCTTGTTCAGTGGAAGGTTTGGGGAAACTTGCACTCTCAGAAGAGACTGGTAAAAGTGTTCCCCATTCATTGTCTTGTAAAGAAGGGCGCACGGACAGTGGTCATACATCTTCACAACTCTCAGGAGAGTTAAAAGTTCAAAGCACCTCTACAGACAAGTCCAAATTGAATGGAAAATTGAAAAGCAGTTTTGATAGTGAAGATGAGAGTTTGGAATGCAGTCTAGATGGTGATGATGATGATGATGATGATGATGATGTAGTATTCATGCCACTGCAAGAAATTCTCTCTTCTAGTCCAAAGCCACAGGCAGAAACCCTGGAAGAACCTTGTCTTGACAGTTTTTCTGAGAACACTGTGACTCCATTACTGAAGCTTCATGTAAGTGGCTGAAAAACAAAAAAAGTGTCACGTCAGCTTTATGTTGTTTTTTAAAAAATACTATTTTTTCCTTTATTCATAATGCTTGAAAACTCAGAGTTATTTGCCTGCAAAACTGGTTACTGAGCTTAAGGGTCCTATGCTGTACAGTGCAGTGTAGTCAGAGAAAGGGTGTGCTTGTTACTGTGCTTGTCCTTGGAATGGCTGGAAGATGGTTTGTGCAGCCAGACTGCATTAACTGTATGCCTTTCAGTGGTTTTTAGGAGGTAAGTTTTTGCTTTTTCCCCTAAAGAAAAAGGCAAGAGGTTGCATTTAGAAGATGTGTGGAGTTTAATGTTTTCATTTTCCTGATCAGGTAAGATTTTTATGAATTAAAAGTTAACTACAGGAAATGGATCTACATATTGAGAGATCTGCGTGCTAGACTCCAGCTGTATGTCTTTGTCACAGTCTGTGATTGTCAGAGATCTGTGTATGAGTTCTTGGTTTGTAAGTATGATGTTTTCTTTGAGGTTGAATTTCATGGAAATTGGAAGTGTTTAAAAAGGATTTCAAGAAGCTGAATGACTACTTCTGCTCGTGAGGGATAGACAGAGTGTTTGAATCCAAGTTTACAGGATATTATGGTGATTAATTGATCTGTGTTTTTAAAAGTTAGCCTATTTATTCAATAGCAGCTTATCAAATAAGTAGTGATTTTGAAGTTTTATTGTAAAATAATGTTTTAATTAGGAAAGTCCTCCAGGAGGGCTCCAGTGTGGCA